ATGGCTCTGAGTTTGTGGGTACAGCTGTTCAGTCCGCAAGTCACATGACCCGGTTCAAGCTCAAAGTTGGTGCTGCTGCCTGCCCTCAAGGTCTTGAGCTCTCTCATGTGGCTGGAGCTCTACAGCTTGAGCCAGGCCTCCACTTTGAGGGTTTTTTTTTTCCTGGTTAAAACTCTCTTCCATTTGTCTACCCAGGCTGCCTCCTAAGTAGCTCGGATTGTAGGCTTGAGCCGCTTCCGACGCACCACTTGGTGGGGGAAAGAAAGGTGGGGCAGAAAGATGAAGACAGTGGTAGTGATGGTGCTGGTGACAGTGGTGATGGTGATGATATTGACGGTGATGGTGGTGATATTGATGGTGGCGGTGGTGGTGATGGTGGTGGTGGTGATGGTGATGATATTGATGGTGATGGTGATGGTGGTGGTGGTGATGGTGACAGTGGTGATGGTGATTGTGGTGATATTGATGGTGATGGTGGTGATGGTGATGGTGGTGGTGGTGATGGTGGTGGTGGTGGTGGTGGTGATGATCATGACAACCAACCCATGCAGCCACTGAGGACAAACTATCTGCTAGGCACTGTGCACACATCATCAATGCCCTCATTCAGCCTCAGGCCAGTCCATCTAGTAGGGACTGTTAGTTCACATTAATAGAGGTGAAGAAACAGGCTCAGAGAGATCTAGGGACCCCACAGCTAAGTGACCAGCAGGGACAGGATCCTAAGTTAAGTTGTAAATCTGTAGCCCTGACCCTACAAGAACCTGCTTGTCTTTCCAGACGAGGTCCTGCCTTGCCTGTGTTTTGGTTTTTTTGTATCGGTCATGGGGCTTGAACTCTGGGCCTGGGCGCTGTCCTCTAGGCGAGTGCTCTACCATCTGAGCCAAAACGCCACTTCCGGTTTTCTGGTGGTTCATTGGAGATAAGAGTCTGATGGACTTTCCTGCCTGGGTTGGCTTTGAACCTCAATCCTCAGATCTCAGCCTCCTGAATAGCTAGGATTACAGGCGTGAGCCACTGACACCTGGTGCCTGTGTGTTTCTGACCTGGGGAAAAGCTCAGTCTCCATCCACTGCAGGGCCCGTTTCTCCCAGAACAGAGGAGTAAGTAGAGTTTGCAGCCCCTGTCCCACCACCGTTTTTTTTTATTGCCAGTGCTGGGGCTTGAACTCAGGGTCTGGGCACTGTCCCAGGGCACTGCTCAACATTCTACCGCTTGAGCCACAGGACCACTTCTGGCATTTTCTATTTATGTGGTACTGAGGAATGGAACCCAGGGCCTCGTGCACACTAGGCAAGCACTCTACCGCTGAGCCACCTTCCCAGCCCTCACGTCTTTGCCCTGCCTCTCCTGGAGCATGGAACTTGCTTGGCCTCCTGATCTCTTGCCTGTAGAGAGCACTGGCTCCCAGGACTGTCCATTCCAGCAGCCACCACCCAGCAAGGATTCAGAGGAAACACCCCAAGATTGGACTCTGCTGACTTTCAGTTTAGTTTGGTCCTTGACCTTGAGGCTGGGAAAGCCTCAGCATGACCTTGAGCCCTTGGAGGACCAGGTTTAAGGTGGAGGCCACCAGCGCCCTCTCTATGGTATCCCCGGAGCCAGCGGGAACTGAGCCAAGAGCCTGGGACAAACCTGTTGGTCTAACCATACTTCCTTTACCCCCTTTTCTTTCCTTCTTTCTTTCTTTTTCTTTCTCTCTCTCTCTCTTTCTTTCTTTCTCTTTCTTTTCTTTTGTATAAATTATTGTTCATTATTTCATTGTTGTAGAATTCCATACGCTAGAAGTCTTATAGGGCTAAAATTAAGGTGCAAACCAGACTTTGTCCTCTCTGGAGACTCTAGGGGAGGGGTCTATTTTCTCCACTTTCCCATCTCTCTCGGAGGGAGGAGGCAGCCACCATTCCTTGGGTGGCAGTCCCCTCCCACCACCACGGAAGCCAGGGCCCAGAGTCCTTATCACATCTTATCACCGGACCTGACTGAAGCCACACCTAAGTGCAGGGAAAGCAAAACAAACTGGATTTTCCATGAGGGAGAGGAGCGCCCTGGGCCTCTGTTGTGTCTGCACCACTCCATTCCAGCCCTTTCCAGCCCCTTTGGGGTAGTTTGCAGAGAACAATTGTATTCTTAGAAAGGAATCCTCTACTCCTAGCCAGCAGAGAGCATGTAGAGCACCGGCGCCTGGAGTTAGGGCCGGGTCATCTTGGGGAGGTGGTAGAATGCCCACTTGGCCAGTTTGGGGGATCATATGGCCACAACTCAGAGCCACGGCTTTGTCCTGACCTGGGTGTGGCTTTGGGCTAGCTGCCGCTCCCCAGACTGCTCCCCATCCACAGCCAAGTCTCCCTCACCCCAAACAGCGCCCCTACCCTTTCCATCCCATGCACTAAATGATGGGATTCGGAGTCCTCCCTTTGCAGGGGGCACAATTCAGAGGTCAGACCCTCCAGGAAGACCCCTAGCTTCAGCACTTCCAGTGGGAAAGTTACTGGACCTCCCGGTGCCTCAGTGTCCTCATCTATAAAACAATTTGCATGGAGCTGTTTTGCAAATTAAATGAATTCGTAATACATAGGGTGATTAGAACAGTGCCCAGACCAGTAAAAATACTCAGTGGGTTTTACCTCTTCTTATTTCTATTAAAGTCTCCGCTTACTTAGATGTAGGCCCTACCATCGTAGCAGCCATTAGTGTTTGGATAACGTCAGGGCAGAAAGGAGCTTGGCGCCAGTGCAGAGATAAACCGAGGTGATCAGAGCATGCGCCTAGGGGCCAGGCTTCCATGTCACACAGCTCTGTCTTACCAGAACCCCAGGAGCTCCTGCTACCAACTCTCAGACTCTCAGAAGCTGAGGAGATCCAGGAGGCTTTAACGGGAGCTGTTGGCGCCGTTCAGTTATCTTTGCCCTGTGGTTTCTGCTTGGGCCAAATCTGTACCTTGAGCCAAATCTCCTCCTCCTCCATGGCCTGGCCAATCTCTGCCTGGGTACATGAACCTGGCAGTGCCAACTGGGGAGTGGTGTTTGCTTTGAGTGTACGGGGCAGGGCAGTACTGGGAACTGGGGCTTCCAGGAATGGGTGAGTACCCTTGGGCATTGCCTAGCATTTGGGTTCCTTTGGAGAGATGGAGAGTCTTGACAGTTGCTGCCAACTTTCTCCCAATAACATCCAAATCCTCCATTGTCATGGGGGCTGTGGCTATCAATAGGTAGAACTGGAGCCGCACACGGTCTGACCTCCCATCCAGCCCAGGCTCTTTTGAGTTGGTTGCTTGGCTTTCTTGTAATTTCCTCCTGAAGGCAGGCATAGGGGAAGAGAAATTCCTGTCCGCTCAGTGTTCCAGGTAGCAGGTTTCTGGTTGGTTGGGATTTTTTTTCTTTTCTTTTTTGTCGGTCGTGGGGCCTGAACTCTGGGCCGGGGCGCTGTCCCTCAGCTCTTCAGCTCAAGGCTGAGCACTCTACTACTTGAGCCACAGTGCCACTTCCGGCTATTTCTGTTTTATGTGGTGCTGAGGAATCGTACCCAGGGCCTAATACATGCCACCTTCCCAGCCCCTCTCTTGGGATTTGGACTTTTCTCCTTTCTCTTTGGCTACAGAGCAGGAGCAAAGTCCCGCACCCCTGGTAAATGGACAAAAGTCCTCTTTGCTCCTGACCCACATAGCAGGGGCCCACAGAGAGCCCCGCCTCTGCGGTGGCAGTGGCAGCCTGGGAGGGAATGAGGAATTCTTATCAATGAATGAATGTCAAGGGCTGGGAGGGAGACACTTGAGAAGATGAACCTGGCTGCTCCCTCCTATGGAAAGCCCAGTCCACAAGGGGGAGGGGGGAGGGGGGGAGGGGGCTTTGTTCCCAGATGAAGGAAACACATTTGACAAGCACTTGTATATGCGAATCACAGCTGTCTTGTTAACTATCATCACCCCCATTGCACATAGAGGTGCAGCAGCATGGCCAGCCAATGGCAGAGCTGGGATTTTGTGCATGGGTGCATGCGTGTGCATGTGCTCATGTACTGTGTACTAGGATTAAACAGAGCCTGGAACTCTTGCTCCGCTTTACCACTTGAGCCACACCTTCACTGCTGGATTTTTTTTTTTTTGGGGGGGGGCTGGTCATGGGGCTTAAACTCTGGGTCTGGGTGCTGTCCTTCAGCTCTTGGCTAGCACTCTACCACTTGAGCCACAGCGCCACTCCTGGCTTTCTGGTGGTTCATTGGAGATAAGAGTCTCACAGCCTTTCCTGCCCAGGCTGGCTTTGAACTGTGATCCTCAGATCTCAGCTTCCTGAGTAGCTAGGATGACAGGTGTGAGCCACTGGCACCTGGCGATTTTTTTTTAAAAAAAACTGGTTCATTGGAGATAAAAAGACTCTCAGATTGGTCTGCCGCATCTGGCTTCAGACCGATCCTCAGATCTCAGCCTCCAGAGCAGCTAGCATCACAGGCATGAGCCGCCAGAACCCGGCTCAGAGTTGGGTTTTTGCTCCATAGGCCCTGCGGTCCTGATCCTTCAGCGAGAGCGAGGCAGGCATGGATCAGTAGTGGTTTGAGGAGCTGGTCAGCTGGAGGGATCCAGGAAGGGGGGGGGGGGGGCATTGGCTGTGGAAGACAAGCAGGTAGCCTTGGCCCTGCGTGTTTGAGATTTGAAATTCAAACACTCAGGAGAGAAAAGAGGCCTGTCAGCTTGTTCTCTTCCTTATCTGAGATAAGCTTTGCCTGGGGCCCTGGCCAAGCTGCTGGGGCTCTCTGGGAGGAGTAATCAGATCTGTGAGGGTAGGAGAGGAGGGGAGAAATGGCCGCTGGGTGGCTGAGAGTCCCCTGAATAGTGGAGCAGTTAGTTTGAATCCCACCACAGCATCTCCAGGCTGGTATTGTGTTAGAGGGGCTGTGACAGCAACCCCGGGGCCGGATTCTCTCACTTGGAACGTAGGGCAGACAACTCCTTGGGCCTAGGCACCTGCCTCTGATCACTGTGTCTCCAACCTTGTGTCCTCTAGATGGCATCTATTATGGAGATAATCGCTTCGACATGGTGAGCGAGTCGGGGACAGCCACCCTGAAAGCTCGGCCCCGAGTCCGGCCGCTGCTGACCTTCCTTCCACTGGTGAGTAGATCCCCGCTCCAGGGTCTGAAGAGGGCTCAGGGCCGGCATCTGCCTTGCCCTGGCCTGACTGCTCCTCAGCCTCACCCTGGTGTCTGTTCTCTCCCTTCTGGGAAGAGGCAGGCAGGGCTGAGGCTTAAGGCAGAAAGGCTGGGATGAGGAGCATCAGCTCCTTCAGGGCTGAAGCCCAAGGAGGCGCCAGGGAGAACTTGTGTGAGTACTGAGCTCAGTGGTTCGCTTTCCACGATGCTGATCACTGTCTGCCTCAAGCCGGTGGGTGTGTTGGGTGCTGGTGCAGGCAGGGGTGACTGAGATGGTTGTTAGATGATTAGAACAGAAGCCAGGCCAGGCAAGCATAACCGGGCCAGCAAGTGGTATTCAGGAAGGCTTCCTAGAAGAGGTGACTCCTGAGCTGTCTCATGGAGCATAGAGCAGTGACCCTTGGGAGAAGAGCACTTGAGATAGATTTGTGAGTCTGAAAGCGCAGGAAGCCAGGAACCGTGGTTGAGAGAGGAAAGACTCTGAGACAATCTGCACAAGAATGCTGTCTCATAGAAACAGAATGCAAAGCTCATGCGTGCTTCAGAATGTTCTAGATGAGTCATCAGAATGGTGAGTAGCAGGAGAGAGATGGCTGCTGGGAGTCCCAGGAATCTTGGAGGTGGACCCAGGGACCAGTTCCCTCCCCCACCCTCCCTTCCCCCCCTTGCTGGGTCAGGGGCCCATTAGCACAGGGGCCCATCCATGCTGTGTTTAGGTTTAGATGGGAGAAGCAGGCAAGACTGGATGCTTCCCGCCCCCTCCCCCCCCCCCCCCCACTCAGGGTAACTCAGGGTAAAGTACCTGCCTAGCAAGCACTGCAAAAAATATACCAGCAGCTGGAGGCATGGCTCAACAGTCCAGCAGCCACCTTACAAGCAGGAGCTCTCAGTTCAAACACTAGTGCCACCAAAAAAAAAAAATTAATGATACATTCAATCTGCTCCCTACTTCTGACCAGTAGCATTTCAAGTATTCGATGGCTGCTTTTGACCAGTGGCTGGTGTATCAGCTAGCCCAGATGTAAACAGCTGGCTTTGTCTGTTCCTGGCTCTCAGGTGAGGGGCCTGGTGGAGACCGGACTGTCACCAGAGGCCCAGTGGCCCCTGGGGTTCGCTCCATGGGGTTCGCACCCACACCTGCCTCCCCTCATCCCGGCTAAGCTCTCCGGGGCCTGTTCAGATTTCCTAGCCTGCTACTGTCTGGCCCCAGGTACTGGCACATTCCCTCCCGGTACAACCACTTCCCTCTCTATCTCTGATATTTCTCCAGTTTGTCCAAACCTACCAGCCAGACCTGACCTCAACCGGCTGCATTCGTATTCCAAGCAAAGTGGGGGTGAGGATGGCTGAGCACACACATCTCTGGGTACACGACTTCAAGTCATTCATTTTAGAAAAGCAGTTCATGGACATTATAGACATACAGAAAGCAAACCACCACCATTTAAAAGGTGTGAAGTCAGCCCTCGCCTTTGTTTCTAGAGATGCATAAAATAACTGTAGGAGCCATTGTACTCAGAAGTGCAGATAAAAATCTTTTTTCTGGTATCATGACTTGGACTCAAAGCCCCACTTGCTCTGATGACTTGCTTGACTCTGCTTACGTATTCAATCTACCAATGTAGCCATACCTCTGGCCTCGCTTTTCCGTGGTTATTTTGGAGATGGAGTCTCAAATACTTTTCTGCTCAGGCTGGCTTTGAACCACCATCTTCCAGATCTCAGCCTGCTGAGTAGCTAGCTTTACAGGTGTGAGCCACCGGTGCCCAGCTGATGAAATAAATCCATTTGACACGCTCTATTTCAGGAAGTGAATTCCATGCTCTCCCCTCACCACTCCTCCACACACACACACACACACAGAGGTATGCCCAAGAGCCAGCTCATGTATACCTGTTCTGCTTGTTAAATAGGAACATTCTCCATGGGTAGAGATGGCTGCTTCCCTTGGCTGGCTCTTGCTGACCCGCTCCTTCCCTGATTGGACCCATCCAAGAACCAGCGTCTAAAGGGTTAATGAAGTACCCTCTGATCTGGCTCTCTTGTATCTTCCCCCACCTCTCCACCTACTTTCGGTCCCTTCTGTTTTGGTCCCTTTTGCTTGTGACCTGGTCTGCATGCCTGGTATCAGGTCCAGGACGGAGGAACAACTCTCTGAGTGATCCCCAGGGCTAGTCCAGGGGATGGGGTGTATCCCTATCTTCCATGGGGAGGGCCTGAGAGAATGAATGCTGAGGCCCTATAGAGGAGCCTCTGTCTATAGAGTCAGGGACTGTCTGTAGAAGCTGGGAAAGGGGACAGTCACATTCCTTCTGGCTGACCCAGGAAAGCCCGGTGGAGCTCCTGGCCTGGCCCCTCCCATCTAGTGGCATGGCCACGTGACCACAGCCAGCACGTGGTTGAGCTGAGCACCAAAACCAGGCAGGTGCAGGTTTTATACCTGGAGGCAATGACGCTGAGGGAGGAAAATGACTCCAGGAAGAGGCAGGATCTGAATCCCTGCAGCCAGCCTTCAAGGTCCAAGGGTATTCAGGCTTCCCTACTCCCTTCCCTTACCTCTTCTCTGAGTGGCCAGGGCTCTTCCCCGCTACCCCCCATATTAGTACTGGGGCTTGAACTCAGGGCCTGTGGTGCTTTCTCTGAGCTTTTCCCCTCAAGGCTAGTGCTCTACTACTTGAACCACAGCTCTCCTTCCAGCTTTTTTGGTGCTTAATCGGAGATCAAACCTGGATGCTCAGATCTCAGCCTCCTGAGTAGATAGGATTACAGGCATGAGCCACCAGCACCAGGCTTCACTTCAGACTGTTGCTGGCTAACTGGAGGTAAGAATCTCATAGAATTCCCTGTGTGGGCTGCCTCCCAATAGCGAGCTTGAGCCACCATCTTGCTTCTTCTGAACACAGACTCTGATGCCACGGTGAGATGAGACGCCACGCTCATAGTTTTATTTAAACGTTTCAACAAAAGACTCTTCTGGAAGCCCACCACAGAATGTCTTGAAGTTAGCAATCCTTGGCCCAGAGGCCCGATCTCAGAGACAGTTCTATTTCTGCTTTAGGTTACAAGATACGGAGTAACTTGAGCATCTTTCACTGCCTGCTCGTGGAATGGGGGACTCGAGGAATGGGGGACTCAAGGAGCAGCTTTGACCCTTCCTGGGTTTTGCTGTGGGTCCTGGGCCAGGCTTCACACCTGCTTCCAGCAGGGGTGGGAGACTGAACTGTGTGTGTGTGTGTGTGTGTGTGTGTGTGTTGGGGTGGAGCTGTGCTTACATGCTTGCACATGCACACTCTGCCCCCTGCCCCATGTGAGCTCGGCCAGCACCCAAGCCCTGCCTAGCAGCCGGGCCTCCGCCCCTCCCTGTCCTCCTCCTCCCACATTGCCAAGTGAGGCCCACCGGCGGCAGGGGAAGCAGGTAACAGGCCCAGGAAGGGCCTCGGAGCTCTCTTGGGACCTGGGCCATCTTGTGAATGTCCCCTCCCTGTCAGTCTCTCTGCCAGCCTGCCGAGAGTGGGGCTGAGAGAAGGAGCGAGATCGGTGACAGGGACTTGCACCCCGCGCCGACTGGAGCTCCTGCTCTGAGCAGGCGCTGAGGGCTAAGAAATGTTAGGTATGTCTCAGTACCTGGAGACAAAAAACAAAAAAAAACAAGGATGAGAAGGGCGGGGCCTCGGGGCCTGGGATGGGACTGGGGAGTGGTCCTCAGATAGCCGGGTGCTCCGATGATGAAGGCCAGGCCCTTAGTTTTTTTTTTTTTGGTTAGTCATGGGGCTTGAACTCTGGGCCTGGGCGCTGTCCCTCAGCTCTTCAGCTCAAGGTGAGCGCTCTATCACTTGAGCTACAGCGCCACTTCCGGTTTTCTGGTGGTTTATTGGAGATAGGAGTCTCACGGTCTCTCCTTCCCGGGCTGGCTTTGAACCGCGATCCTCAGATCTCAGCCTCCTGAGTAGCTAGGATTACAGGCATGAGCCACCAGCGCCCGGCTGGCCAGGCCCTTCTTCTCTCTGCGCCTCTGGTTCCTCACCCACTAACAGAGCTTATGCTGAGATCCACCAGGGTGTCCCCAGTTGAGTTTCGGTGTTAAAGTGACTTAACTCCTGGCCAGGCTCCAAGGGCTCACACCTGTAACCTCACCCACTCAAGGCTAGAATCTAAGCATTGAGATTTGAAGCCAGACAAATCTGAAAGACCCTTATCTCCAAGGAACCGGCAAAATACCGGGCTGGAGGCGCAGCACAAGTGGCAGAACACAAACCTTGAGTAAAAAAGCCAAATGAGAGTGCGAGTCCCCGGATTCCTTCCAGCCTCAGGAATACCGCACACACACACACACACACACACACACACACACACACACACACACACACACACACACACACACACACACACACACACACACACCACACACACGAATCCCTAATGTGAAGTTAGGCAGGTCCCCAAAGGTCACCCCATCTTCCTACTGGGGAGGCAAGGACAGCACCGGGACCTGAATTAAACTTCTGACCTGGGTGGAGCCCATTGTCATCAAAATGACCAAGGACCAGAGGGGCTGCTCAGGCCACACAGCAAAGACAAGCAGAGGTGAGGTGTGAGCAGAGATGAGGCAGAGGCGAGGCCGGGGCAGGGCCTTCCCTCCAAGCCAGTCCTGTACCTGGAGGCCCATCTGAGGGAGGAACCGGCTCAAGCCGCAGCCTGCCCTCTGCTTCTGTGAAAGGTTGGACCTTTCTCATGCTCGCCTCATTCTCCCCCATCTCAATCCACCCTCCCCAGGGTGATACATGTGCAGAATTAAAAATTAAGTGCCCATGTGGAAAACATGGGGAAACTGGCTGGACAGGTACCCTAGGGTGCCCGGGGCTGATCACCGCACCCCACACCCCGTGAGTCAGACAAGCCTGGCTCTGCCAGGGGAGGGATCCCGGGCTGCAGGGAGGCCCTTCCCCTACCTGCTCTCAGGAC